GACGTGTGCTCTTCCGATCTAAGATTCTCCTTTTGTAAAAGTTAAATGTAGATCACATTAAAATTAATTATATAATTACTATTTACAATTAATTAGTCGTGCTATCGGAATTAGAAAAAAAAACCAATTTGTATTTTTTCAATAAAATAAAACGTTTTTTTCTATTAGAAAAAAAAACGTTTTTTTTACATCTCTATGTACGCTATTTGTTTTGATATATTTCCCAGGTAATAAGCTGACATTATTTGTTATTATTTTGATGTCAAAATGATGGGTTAATTCATTAAAAATAAGATTAAAAAAGGACATACTTTCATAAATTTTCCAGTGCTGATCATAACATTTTTGATAACAGTCGCAGCTATGTCTTGACTGTCATCATCGCTTATGACATGAAAAGTAATGTCTACAGAAGTAAATCTGAGCAAAGAATCTGTGAATATTTGGAATTTGCGTCTCATAGGCGAATTTGAGGCAACTTTAGTAAAAATGCACCATACATTATAATAATTTGTCTGATTTCGTGGCAAAATGCTCGCTGTTGAAGACATATAATTAACAGAATAAGCAGTCGCTGCTGAGGCAGCCGTAAGGTTTGCCAAACTTGCATTTCTTGTTTGCAAGTTGGAAACGATCCAGCGTCCTCCATCGGATGTCTGATAGCAATATAAAGCTAACAAGAATAACGCGAGGATTGTCAACCTCAGTAGCACCTTGCGTAACAAGGGCATTTAACTTGTATCCCTTAATCTTTTAACCTAAAAAAAAACAAAAAGTTTCAACAATCCATAGAAAAAATACATTCATCTAGAATAATAATCTGAAAATAAAAATATCTTGTTCAAAAAAATTCGATTTTACATTTATTAATTTTCAAATTTCTTATCAATTTCTTTCAATTAATTAATTTAATCGAATAACTTAATTTCAATTTTTACCTAAACTAGCTTAACTTATTGCTTGCGATTTTCTCTAAGCGAGATAACATTAATCTCAAATAGAGAGAATCAGAAAAAAATTGATAATTACGTGAGCATGATCGATGGCTGAGTCTTCGTTACTGCATCATCGGTTTAGATTTCCTATCGAGCAATACCATGTTTCCTACGAGTCATGATCCTCTTGTAAATATTTAACGAGAAAATAAAATGCCATAGACCAGTGATGTGCAATTCACAGCCCGTCTATAAATTTTTTATGGCCTGCTGGCTCATATAAAATGTAACATAATATATAAACATTTTATAACATATAGTAACGTTTTATATAACAGAATATATAAAATATTATGCAAATTACCAAAATAAGATAATTATCCAGGACATCCCCATTATCTCCAATTTTGACGAAATTAGGTTCATTCAACGCGTTTTTACACGAAATTAAAGAATCTGGCAGAAAAAAGTGTCACTCTATCCCGCGAAACAAGATGCCGAGATATTAATCCTTAAAATTAATCACTTTTTAGGTTAGAAAATTTTCTGTTATGACCTGTTAGTCCTGTCCCATTGACATAAGACCAGAGAGGATCCTGAGAGCGGCCATGCCCGCGAATCTCGCGATTTAGCTGCGATGGGCGATTGAGCTGGTTTCAGCGCCTCTGGAAAGTGAACATTGAACTACGTAGCCAATGTCCACGATTTTATCAGTAATGTCCACGATCTTTTGGTGGTGTCACAGTATAACCAGTAGGTCCACTTCGTGTCGGCACCTTTGATCTCCTTTTCCGGATACGTGAGCATCCGTCATGTTAAATCCAGGACCGAATTGAGAAAAGTGCCTCACAAGTGATAAAACAGATAAGTAAT